GCAAAGGAAGCAGGAGAGGTGGTGACTCAGAGGGGTGGTCCCTTTCTGCCACCCCTCTGAGTCACCAGATGGGGGAGGGGGAGGGGAGGGGGAAGGGAGGGGAGGGATGAGGAGGGAGGGGGGGCGTTTAGCTTCCCTCGACCTCCCTCCGGAGATTTGGGCTTTGACCTCACCAGGTGGCAGCGCTGCAGCTCAGTGAACGGATGCACAAATCCAGAGGAAGAGCCTGTGGTTGGGGAGATGGGAGGCTGCTGTCCACGCCTTGGCTTCCTGGGGGCACGAGTGCTCGGACGGGGAGGGGGCACGAGGGGACACAGGATGACACACGCCTCCCTACAGCACCCCTCCCCAGAGAAACCGAGGCCCAGCGAGGTTCCGGGACTAGCCTAAGGCCACATACAGCTAGTAAGTGACTGAGCTGGGATTTGAACCCACTTCTGTGTGGCTCCAAAGTCCCCGTTTTAGTGTCAGACAGCAGAGCGCGGACCACTCAAGTTCATGTCCCCGGGCTAACCCCACACTGCCTAACCCTTCTGGGCTTTGAAACGTGAGGTACGGAAACAATGCTCACCTTAGAGGACGGCTGGGAATGCACGTGGCAAAATGCCTGGGCTGGTGTTTGCGCCCAGCAGGCAGCGAGTAGTCTCTGGGGCTCCTGTACACTCAGAGACAAAGCTGACGGCCTTGCGGTGGCCTCGCGGCCCAGGGGAGACTATCCGACCGCTCCCCGCCTCCCCACACCATCTCCTCCATGCACTTTCTCTTCCTGCTGCTTGGAAGGCGCTTCCGCCCCTCCAGCCTCTGCCCCAGGGCCCCTCACCAGCGGGCCTTGTCCGCGCGCCCCTGGAAGATGGCATGGCCTCCTCACCCCGGCACACTCTCACCCCACCCTCCTTGCCTTCCTCTCTAGCGTTTGCACCACGCAGCCTGCTGGATGTGCTCCTTCTTTAGCGCACATGGTGTTTGTCCCCCTCTTTAGAACGTTTGCTTCTAAGGGAACAGGATGGGATTCTGTCCATTTTGTTTGTAGCTGTAGCCCCAGCGGTTGTCCGCAGTGGGTGATGCTGGCTCCCGGGGGACAGTTTTGTATGTCACAAAGGGAGGAGGGTGCTCGTGGTATTTAGTGGGTAGAGGCCGGGCATGCTTCTGAACACCCTACAGTGCACAGGAACCGTCATCCTCCCAAAAGAATACTCTGGCCCCAAAGGCCAATAGTGCCACAGTTGTATCCCCATTACTGACAACAGTGGCCAGCCCGTACACAGTAGGTGCTCAATGAATGCCTGATGAAGAATGAAGAGCTACTATCACCCTTGTCGCCGCCACTTGTTATTATTTAAGAACAGAAACTGTTGAGAATAATCTTTAAGAATGGCCATCAGGGGACTGCCCTGGTGGCAGAGTGGTTAAGAATCTGCCTGCCAGTGCAGGGGACACGGGTTCGAGCCCTGGTCCTGGAAGATCCCACATGCCGCAGAGCAACTAAGCCCGTGCGCCACAACTACTGAAGCCCACACGCCTAGAGCCCGTGCTCCGCAACAAGAGAAGCCACCACAATGGGAAGCCCACGCATCACAATGAGGAGTAGCCCCTGCTTGATGCAACTAGAGAAAGCCCGCGCGCAGCAACAAGACCCAACGCAGCCAAAAATAAATAAATAAAATACATTTATAAATAAATAAATTTATTAAAAAGAAAAGAAAAAGAATGGCCATCAGGTTGTCCTGGGGAGCCGTAACTTCTTGGCTATGGCTTGAGCTCTGCCCTCAGCAGCACCCGGAACGGGCTGCAAACTGGTCCTTGCTGGGCCATCATCAGGCGGGACCAGTCCATGGCTCAGGCCCCCTGAGGGCCCACGCGATGCTGGCCCGCCCCTCCCGCAGCGGGCCTGCTGGCGCCCCTCAAGTCCACGCCCGCCAACACCGGCCCCCACGCCGGGAGGCTCAGGGTTGCGTGCCCAGCCGGGCCTGGGGCCGCCTCCACGAGCCTTTTAGGTGACCCCAGCCGAACCCTGCACCCCCAGGCCTTCTGAGTGAATTATGCTCTTTTGCTCTTTTCGAGATAAGGCCATAGGAGGGTGTGGGGATGTGTGAGGGGCCACAGGTGTTGGACCCTCCCCGGCCCAGCTCGGCCCAGCCTCTTGCCTGACAAATTACCCTGACACTTTTAAATGGCCAGTGTGGCTCTCCCAGGCTCTCCCAATGCAGAGAGCATCACCTAGAATACAGAATACATCACACACCACGTGGCCGTGCTCTCACGGGGAAGGGAGGGCAGTGTGAAAAGGAAGGCGCTGGCTCTGCCCCAGTCACAGGACTGGAGGCTTCTATCGGCTCCCTCAGCAGGCCACCCAGCCCACAGTTCCGCTGAGAATTCCCACTGAGGTTCACAGCTTTCCCTGCCTGCCGCCCGCCCCCGCCCCATCTCCCCAAGCCCTTCCTTCTCCTGAGGGGCCTCCTTGGGCTCACCGCTGGCCCTTTCTCTGCAGAATCCAGAGGCTGGCACATCACCTTCCTCTCCCACTCTCCCCACTTTCTCTTTCCTCCCCCCTCTCTCTCCCCTTGCAGGTCCTCAAAGCTTTTAAACAAGTCACCGATGCTAAGGTTTAGTAGCTGACTTATTAACTGGGTACAAGGCCATAGACAAAGGAATGAGTCTCTAATGGTGGAGCGTTAGGCAGCAGACTGCTCGGTTTGGGGAACAGGATGATATTTGGTGAGCAGGGGTTTTCCTGGTGTCCCTGAGGTCACGTGTGGCTGGCCCCGATTCTGCCAGGAGGAAGGCTGACCCCAAACCCAGGATGGACTGAAGGAGCAGGTGTGTGCCCAGTGACCACCCAGAATGAGCCAGGACGCCGTGCAGGGCAGGCCCAGGGCACCAAGGGCTAGAAGGTAGGGCTTGGTGGAGACTGGATTCCAACTCTCCCAGCTGCCTTCTGGGCACCAGAGTGCAATCTGTGAGCTACCTGATCAAAGACTCCCACCCCTGCCCCAGCTCTAGGATGGCATGAGGCGTCTTGGCGGCACAGGGCCCTTTCAATGCAACGTCCAAGAATCAGGCCGTGGCTGCAGGAAGCAGAGACGACTGGCCCTGGTCATCTGCTATGAGCCCAACACTGACACCTGTGTCCTTGCATTGCACACACCCCTGGCCCTGTTGTACAGAGGAGGAAGCTGAGCCTCCAAGACTCAGCCAAGGTCCAACGGTCAGAGAGCCGGCTGCGGCTGGAGCCCGTGTTTTCCACCATGACCTAAGGTGGCCTCCTCAGGTCAAGTGTGAACAATTCAGGCAACCTCCCACTGCATCCCCTCCCCTAACCCAAGTCACGGAATCCCAACACACAGCCTGAGGATGGCCAAGGTCTCAAAGCCTGCTGCCAGCTGGGGCGTGGGTGCGTGCAGCCCACCAGGGGGCCAGGCATCTCACAGCCCGGATGCATGTGCACAGGGCAGCCCTGGCTGCACCCCACCCCCGGGGACATCCACCGAGCTCCACACATGAGAGGGAGGCTGAAGCGTGTCGGGGGGTGTCTCAGGCACAGCTACAAGTTCCACCCTTTCTAAGCACCCTGGGGACCTGGCGCTGTGACGAGATGTCCCCAGCTACCTCAAGCTGCCGAGTCAGCGGAGAAGCAAGGCAGAGCTAGCGCTTCTCAGGTGGGCGGGGGGCTCCGGAGGGAGCACTGGCTGTGGGGTCAGCAGAGGTTGCTGCCGACCCCATGCCCATGGTCCTGGGACGTCCTGGAGCCAGGACATCAGATCCGAGCCGAAGTCCCCCAGTGCCCACCTGCAGGGCAGTCCAGGCTGTTAATTCATCAGACCCTGGGGATGTGGAGGTGAGGGAGGGGGCCTGAGTGGGCCGGGAGGCAGGTCCCATCTGTGATCCCTGGGGAGCAGCTGCCAGCACTGGCGACAGCTGGAGCGTGACTTCTGTCCAACTGAGACAGGCCCCCCACTTGGGGACCCTCTCCCGGGTCCTGCTCTTGCCCAGTCACTGATAATTCAGTGCAAAGTGGGTGAATCCTTTCCTTAACGAAAGTCCTCAACCATGAAAAGGGCCACCCGTGTGTCTGGCAGGCCCCAGGGGGCAGACGAGAGCCCGTGGCCCCAGCCTGCTCACAGGCACCCCGGTCAGCACCGGAGGGGCTCAGAATGTGAGCCTCCCCCCCAAGCCAGGTCCCAGGGAATCATCTCTTCAGTCCTAGGAAGAGGCAGTCTGACTTCATTTAACAATTTTTAGCACACTGCATCTTCATCAATTGCCAAATTAGGATGAGGGCAAAGCGACAGGTCAAGTAATTAAAGTGGGGGGGGGGGGCTCTGGCGCGACTGGGGAACTATCCTGGTGTGTGCCTGGGGGGCTGCCGTCGCACTCTCTGCGTCTGCCTGCAGGTTCCCCAGCGCCTCCCCGCGTCTCCCCCCACCCCCCGCCGCCCCCGTGGCCTCCGGCAGGGACACTTCCTCCCAACCCAGCCGGACCAAGCATCCCCACCAGTCCCACCACCCCCGCGGCCAGGCGGGGGCCGTCCCGGGGCAGGCGGACCCGCGGGGCTGTCTGACCGCTGGGGGAGGGAGGCCACCCAGCAGGCTGCGGTAAGCGGGGAATTCGACCCGCGTAGACGGACAGCCCAGCTCGACAGGTGGGGGTGGGCTTCCCCGCCCGCGCGATCCGGCTAATGGCCGCCGGCGCTCTTCGAGTTTGCCGTGGGAGTCCGCCCTCAGCTTCGGGGTGGGCAGCTCAGCAGCGTCCGCAGAGAGGGGGCGTCATCACCCCCCCTCACATCCCCGAGACAGACGCGCACACGCGCGCGCACACGCACTCCCCCACCCCGCCCCTTCCTCTCCGCGCCCGCCGGGGATGCGCGCACGCGGGGACTGTGGCCCCCGCCCCGCGGTAAGGGGGCAGCGGGCGCGGCGGCGGCTCGGGCTCGGGGGGAGCTTGTCCCTTGCGGGGCCCACGCGGGGACAGCCGGTCTCCCCCCCGGTCTTCCCGGCTCCTACCTCGCTGGAGCGGCAAAGCCCCCGGCCCTGGTCGAGCGTCCGTCGCAGGCTCCGCGCGGGGCAGGAGGTACCGAGCGAGACTCCGGGGCGCCCGCCCCGTCCGCCCGCCCCGCACGAACCGCCCGGCACCAGTGGCCGCGGCCGCCGTTCGAGCCTAGGCGGGGAGTGGGCGGGGCCGGGGCGGGGCCTCACCCCCCCCCCCACTGCGAGCCGTCGGCGGGCTTGGGGACCCTGAGGACACTAGGTGTCCCCGGGAGGTGCGCACGTCTGGGGAAGCACCTTCGCGGGGTTTGCAGGTGGCTAGTCGTGGGCTGGGGTCTCGAGGAGAGGAGTTCGGGGGCCACGTGGAGCTTGGCCGAGCCCTCCCGGACTTGAGTCAGATTTACCTTCAGATTTCAGCTGCAGCTTCTGCTGTTTAACCAGCATCATCACTGTCATCGTCAAAACAACACAACTCCACCACCAGCTAGTATGTATTGATCACTCCCTGTGCACTAGGCACGGTTCAAAGCGCTTTGCTCCCATGGAATCCTCCCTCCCAACAACCCCATTGTACAGATGAGAAAACTGAGGCCCCGAGTCCTGAAGCGATGTGCCTGAGGACACGCGGTGCAGCTCAGTCTGCCTGGCTCCCGGATCTGTGCTTTCTTTCTGTGTGGCCTTAAGCACACCCCTCGGAAGTATAGAGTGGAAATACATGTGCAATAATGATAGCAACCAATAGTTTTTATTTCTTCTTTCTTCCGTTTATATGTCTCCTTTATTCTCTGGGCTCCGGACCCCCAGTAGGTGCTCAATAAATATTTGTTAATCAGTGACTTGTTTGAAAGCTGCAGCTGGAGCCTGGTTGGATGGTTCAACCCAACAGTTAACTCTTTCTGGCCTGAATCCTTGCCCATCTTCGTTTCTGTGACGACGGCCTGACCGGCACCCTTGTCCAAGACGTTCGTGTGACTTGCTTACGGAACAGCAGCTTCTGCCCTCTGCTCTGAGAGGTAAGGGTCACCCTGCAAGGAGGAGCCTCCAGGAGGTGAGCTTGGCCAGCCAGGCCATGGGAACCCTTCCATTGGAAGGTCTGTAGTCTCTGCAGACCGTGACGTGGTCAAATACATGGGATGTGCGTGTGTTTGAGGGCGGAAGTAGGCTTCCGAAGAATGAGACACCATCAGTGAACGTATTTGCTGAAAACTGTAAGGCAGCAGTGCAACAGGAGCCTGTATGCTTCTAAGATCTCCTGACCTGGGCGTCACAGGACATTGTCACCTGTGAACGGGGTCATGTGGAGTTGAAACCACTGAAGGTTTATGGGGAGGACACACCAGGTTTCTATTCACAGCACTTTAGGCCTGAAAACTTCCCAGCTTTCTCTCTCTTCTCTCGTCTTCCCCGGGGAGTGTTCCTCTCCACGTCCCAGGGTGCCCTGATGGAGAGGCCTCTCACCCCGTTGAAGGTGTCCACATCTCTCGACTGGGACCGAGTCCCACATCTCCCAGACCCCACCGCCCCCAAACTCTTTCAAATGTGTACCTCCTTCTGCTTGGCTTGGCTTCTTTGCCACATGGAAAACTCCTATAGGTCCTTCAAAACGTTGCTCAATTTGCTCCCTCTGACCCAATACACATAATTTCTTCCTTCCCTCATCTGGGCCCAGGGGCCTCTTGACTAGCTCTTTCCCATTTAGCAATGGTGAGTTTATTGTCAGTCTCCCCAGCTATGCTTGTGAGCTCCTTGAAGGCAGGGGTCTTGCACACAGTAGGTGCACAGTTGATGCACTGTTGAATGACTGAATCTAAGTAGGATGCATTTCCCCAAGACTGAGGTTTGTCAAATCAAGGGGAAAACCACCCACCAGAGCAACTGAACTGGATCAGTGATATGAAAAGATGAAAACTGGGCAGAGCAGTCGGGAGCTGTGCCTCTCTCAAGGGCTGCATTTAATGTTCCCAGCAAAGGCCAGAGATGCTGCCCTGGGATCTGTGTCCTACAGGGTCAGCTCTGCTGGACAGCAGCAATGTCTTCAGGCAACAGAAGAGTGGGTATTAGGGTTGGGGGTGAGCAGGCTGCCTGAAGGTGGGTATGAAGGAAGGGGTAGCTGGGGCATGGGGTGTCCTCCTTCGTGGGCCGATTGAGGGTTGCTAGAATGCCCACTTGCTCCCCAGACTGGGCCCCTCTTTCATCTCATGATGCTGTTCTCCAGGGTGAAGGAAGAGACCCATTGCCCACCGAAGGCATCCTTCAGAAGGACCGTCGGTCTCCGGGGGTGTTCACAGCCTCTCCCCTAGTCATGCTGCCTGAGGCAAGTGGGGAGGCCTCACAAGGTGGGTGGTTGAGAGGAAGGGGATTTGGATCAGATGGATCGGAATTCAACCTGATTCTGCCCCTAACTAGCTGTGCGACTTGGACAAGTTACCTGACCTCTCTGAGATTCGCTTTACCGCCCTCTAACCAGGGCTGATTTCATGGGTATGTGACTTGTGCACTCACCCAGAACCTGCTCTTAGGCTTGGTTGGTCTAATGGTCTGCTTTGGCGGTCTTAAAATTTTTAATCATTTTGAACAAGGGACCGCATTTTCATTTTGCACCAGACCCCACAAGTTATGGAGCTGGTGATGACATCCCCCGACACACGCTTCATTGGGATAATGTTTGCACAAACGTCTAACAGCCGGCTCGCAGCAGAAGTTAGTTTCCCTTCCTCTGATCTGGGCTTGAAGAGGAAGAGGTCGCCAGGTGGACAGAGGGACAGGAAGGCAGTTTCAGGCAGAAAGGCCGGCCCAGGCAAAGGTAGGAGGACACCAGTTGCGTTCAGGGAAAGGCCGGCCGTCTGGGGCGGGCGGGGTGGAGGGCTGCGGGAGACACACCTCAGGACACGCGGTGCGGACAGAGTGAAAGGCCTTCTGGTTCCTTTCAGGAGCTCGGGCCTCAGGCCTGGGGGCCCATGAGGGGCAGGGTGGGCCCTAAACACCAGCATGCTGAGCGGAAGGCTGCTCCCCTTGTGTTGAGCTGATGAGACAGGCAGTGGAGGGCGTGGGCGGGAGCCCTGCTTGGAGCTGCCCGCGCGCTCGCTGTCTACTTGATGGGGAAATTCTGTAGGTGTTTGTTAAGCCCAGCAGTTGCGCTTGGGGACCTGGGGACTCTGGGCCTGATGAATAATGGAGCAGCCCTTCCTCTCTGGGCCTCATTCTCGCTTTTCAACAATTCATGCATTCCCGTGGTTGAAGCGTTGCATAAAACCTCAGCTTTTTCTGAATCCGAGGCCAAGCTCGGCGAATCCGATGCCTGCATGCCTGAGGTCTTAATTAGAAACATACACGGGAGCGCACTCAGCCCACGTGCCCTGTGCTCCTATCAAGGAAAATGCCCCATTACCTCCCGAGGAGGCGTGAAGGTCGGGCCAGACCCCCTGGAGGTGGAGGGGAGGCTAGCTGCCCCGGTGCGTGCAGGGTTGGGAAGGTCCACGGAAGGTGCGCCCCGCCCAGGGTAGGAGACTGTGACGCTCAGCACCCTTCGAAGTCAGGCCTGTTCAGGGGACCTACTCTGGCTGACGGAATATGAGGAGAAGTGACATGTGTCACTGCCAGGTGGAGGCTTTAGGGGCCACCGAACACTTTGCCATATTCCATTTTCCCTGCCTTTGGGACTGTGGAGAGGCAAGTCAGGATGGAGCTTCTGTCGCTCCGAACCTCCAGGTGACTGAGGAGCAGAGCGCCCCCTGCCGACCTCTAATGGACACACAGCCTGAGCAAGAAAAAACTTTCTTGTGAAGCCGCTTGGGTGGAAGGGTAGCTCGCCGCGGCCGCGGAGCTTGGTCTCGCCTGATTCGGCTCCCCTGCCCGCCGGCCCTTTCTTGCACCTTCTAGCACCCACTGCTCATTCGTTCAGCAGCGCGTGGGCTGCACTCTCCGTGCAGTGAGCAGATGGGCTGGGGAAACCCTGAGCCCCAGGTCTCCGTGGCTGCCAGCGCTGATGTGGGAGGACGGGTAACAGAGAGAGGGGGGCACCTTCGAAGGTGTCGGGATGGAGATCAGGGTTTCCCAGCAGATCCAGATCAGGTTTGAAATGGGCACGACCTCAGGGCCTGCGGGGCCTCTGTGTATGTGTGTGTATCAGAGGGAGGGAGGGGGGAGGCCCAGGGAAGAGAGAAGAGGGCCTCGAGGGTGTGTGTGTGTGTGGGCAGGACCGGGCAAGGCCGGGGAGAGGAGACCGGCGCTCAAGTGAGCGGTGCTTCTATGGCGCGTTGGCCGATGACAGTAACATTAGTGCCTGCTACCTGCCGCAGTCTGCCGGGTGCTGGCACACACTGGCACTTTGGGTTCTCACAACGACCCTCTGAGCCAGGACACCAGTACCCTCCATTCCAGATGAGAAGACTTAAAGAAGCAATTTGCCCTGGGAATGGCAAAATGATAGCGCTGGAGGGAGCATGGCACATTCAGGATCCATCCTCGCGGGCATCACCCACGCTGTGAGTGGGCACGGCACACTGCGTCCTCAGGCTGGCCGTCAGGGCCCAGGCACGCGGGATCTGGTCTCAGCAGGGAGCTCTTTGGGACCCACGTGTTCGGGATGACTGGGCCAACAGGGAAGCCTAGGGACACAGGGCCACTGGCCGCAAGAATATTCAGGGCCCAAGAGACACTGGGCTTCAAGAAGCAGGAGACCGATTCTCTGCTCTGCCTCAAGGAGGGTGCCAGGTGGCTCAGCGATGCTCCCTGGAGAGCTGGTGGGCGGGGCCCTACAAGGGGGCTGGGCTTGCGGATGTGCTAGCCCACCAGGTGACGTTGCTGACTCCCCTGCTCTTTTCTCAGCCGTGGGTTCAGGCCTGTGAGTTTCCCTATTTTCCTCCTGGACTTGACTTTGCTGGTGGGGGAGGGGTTGACGGGACCGCGGGTCCACCCCCCTGTCCCTCATTCCTCCGGACCTCACTCACCCCTCCTTTGCGGTCGCCCCTGTCGTTCAGTCTCTGCTGTTTTCTCGGCCCGCCCCCTCCTCCCCCGCAGCCCGCTAAGTGGCTCGGCAGGTTTCCCAACGTGGCTGGCCAAGAACTGAGTCCTTTTCTTAGCAGGACGTGCTCTCTCCTCCTCCGGATGCCGCAGGGCGTGGAGCCTGGGAGCGGTCCCGCCGCTGCG